AGAGAGAGAGAGAGAGAGAGAGAGAGAGAGAGAGAAATAGAGTATATGTGTGAGTATGTAAGTGTGTGTTTTTATGTATGTGTGTGTGTGTGTGTGTGCTCATGTGAAAGTGTGCATGCGCTTATGCATTGGCGTTTTTAATGAGGTGGGGCGTTCTTGATTATTCAGATTGCTTGAGACAAGATAAAAAAAATGTAGACGCTCGCACAACATATAAAAATATATTTTCAATAATATACAAGTCTATAAGACGTGTAATTCACGAAATAAATTGTTTTTTGTTGTTTTTTTCTATTGATTTGCTAGCAGGAAACGCTGAGACTTGCTTTAATTGACAATACGCCTATTTTCCATCTCTACAGAAAGCGGTGGGAACTCACCAATGTCAAAAGATTCTGAGTTTGGTTTGACAGCAACCCAGGGATTAGGACAGGCTGGCAAACCCACGGGAGGGAACTCCCCATCCAGGTAAAAGCAGAGAGACAATAATGAGCTGAGGGGGCAAAACAAACTCCAGTTGTATTTTATTTTTAAAATAGCATTCTGGCAGTTCAGTAAGTGTTCACACTACCAAGATACAAAATTGGCATTTTTCCGACCACAAAGCGGAATTTTTCTGTTCTTTTAATTTAATAAAAATGAATTTAAGCTTGACTGAAATCCGTAAAGAAATTTAATTATTGTCACCCAAGAAAGATAGTAAGTTTAACTTTTAAAGATGTTTAATTGAGGCACTGGGACGTAACACGCGTTTCTGCTGTGGCCATGACAACTGCTGTTTTTTTTTAAAATTATGTTTTATTTCATTTTTTAATTTTTTTTTTATTTGTTGACGTTGAATGTCCTAGTGACAGCAGAAACGGGTGGAGCATGCCGAAAGCTCGATTTTTCCTGATGCTGAGTTAAATCTACTATCTTTCTTGTATAATGGTAGGCCTACTATGTAACAACAACAATAATAATAATAATAATAATAATAATAATAATAATAATAATAATAATAATAATAATAATAATAATAAATAGCATTTTTATAGCGCATATACCCGCTCAACAGCAGGCTCTATGCTCTTTACACTATATTACTACTATGTACAGATAGAAAATAAGTAGGGCTGCACCACGCTAGGAAAGGGATAGGTGCTGGGGTTTGTAATCGTTACCATTTGATTTGCTTGCTATTATTGTCTTTACTTGACTCTCTTTACCATGCTAGCCACTTGAAATTGTTGGCTAGGTCTTCAACTTCTCTTCCTCTTAGGATGTTTAAGCCATTATCAGTTCATGATGAACGAACTATCATTATTATAATA